GGATAAGCTATCCCACTGACCAAGGAATAAAGCTTGAGAATAAACAGGACAGATAAGTTGGATCAAGTTGGAGTAATATACTTCTGTTTTGTTTTTAATTGAGGGGAAACTGAAGCTTATCCCAAAAAGATGAACTTCATGCAAACGTTTGATGCTTTTGAAACAATTTTTTGAACGTCAAAGCAAAAGCAAATGAAAATTAGGAAAATCAAAATCAAATGAGTTTAGTCATTTTTATGAGTTCTATTGTTTATACCTCAGATCTGAATAATCTTGCTTGTTTCTCATTGACGACCTGGGAGGTTTCGATCCAAAACAATGGAATAACTTTTTCGTAAAAAGGTGCATTGTCGTCCACGTAGCTTACATTATATGGTCTGGGCTGAAATTGACTCAATATCACGCCGCTATTGACTACCGCGCTGATCTGGAACCGAAAGACAGCTTGAAGGGCTGTTCCTGTGAATGGTTCAATATCGATCTGAAAACATGACAGGAAAAAAATGTTAGCAAAGACAAAGACAAGAGGCAAAAACCGCAAAAAACAAACAAACGAAGTGAATATTAACTATGTTTCATAATTTGAATTATAAGCTGTATGTTATGTTATGTTCCTGTAATCTAAGAATTTTTTTGCAAATTTCAGGTATTTGATAATTATGTAAATATATCCGAACGGTGGGTAAAAATTTTGACTCTGAACAAAGAATTATGTTATCAATTTTTTTCTCCTATTTGATGTATCAACTAAAATAACTCTTCCTTGTGTCTGTCAGTCACTTCCGGTGTTTAGATATCAGATGAATCACTCCGTTCTCGTGTTTGATATATTACTTCTCGGTGTTTGGATATCAGATGAATCACTCTTTCTCGTGTTTGATATATTACTTCTCGGTGTTTGGACATCAGATGAATCACTCTTTCTCGTGCTTGATATATTACTTTTCAGTGTTTGGATATCACATTAAACACCCTTGTGCATATGTAACAATTTCTCGGTGTTTGAACATCAAAGAAAACGTCTATCACGTCTATCACTACTCGGTGGTTAGTTATATCTTCTCAAGATGTGTGGATTTAAGTACTGAATTTTAAAACTATGAACGTAACGTGACAGAGCGGAAAAAGATCTCTTTAAATAAAGGAAGGTGAACACCGCGTTTGCCGTCTTCTCCTTTCTGCCGTCCTATTGCGTAAGCTCACTAATCACTCGTATGATTACAGACCGAATTAAACCTTACTCAAACCATTTTTTTATAACAGTAATTATCATTTCCGTTGCAGACGGAGAGATATTCGCTTTAGCAACGCCTAAGGTGTATTGGCGACCAACATGCAATCGGCAAACGTCAATCTGTATATTACAATTTTCCCTTTACTTGGCTTTCACTCTTTAATATATGTACCAAAATATTTCGCGAGTTTTATCCATAAAAATGAGTCTGTACAGTTTTCATCTGTTTTTTTTCTATGTTGAGAAATCGTCAGCTTGAATTTGACAGTTGCCGTTTGCCGTAAACGTGATTCGTAATCTCTCTAATGTCAATGCTAATTAAGCTGTGGGATCTGTGACCAAGGCCAAGAAAATCATTGCTATGGTGACCAGAGTTGGTAATTTAAGAATTGCATCTATAAGGTGTTATTTTCTCTTACAAATGATCCATGCTTCTTCGGATCGGCTGCTGGAATTCCTATCTTCTTTCCCAGGCCCTGCGCGCCGTGCAAGAATCGAGGAAAACCAGTAAGGACTGGAAATCCGTAAATACCAGACATATCGAGAAGCCCGGATGTAAAAACAGTTCTGTTATTCCCTGTTACCAGGCTTTCCTCAAGTCGAAACCTGTGAAAAGGTTATTCACACACTTGCCCTCGTCTCTCACTTACTTGCAGCGCCAGTTTCGAAGATTCTATGCATCTTAGTTGAATTTGTTAACTTTTCTGCCCAAATTTTTAGAGTGGTTCCTTGGTTATATTTTCTCCTTCTACGAGAACACCTATTTACAAATTCTAATATGATCACGAGTTCCAAGCCTTACTGTTATTACACTAGCTAGTGCCTCACCTGTCCAACTTAAGCCCTTTTATCTTGACCTGTTTCTCCTGGACAAGTGTTCCCCGTCTCTTCAACTGCGGCATGAAAATCTCGTAACTCTTTGCCGCTGGCCTGTGGGCTTCACATGACCTAACTTTTTTCGCGGGAAAGAAAAGGGCCTGGTGACCATGTACCTTCAGCTCGTTCGCGGAGGCGCTTGGGTAAAATGATTGCCTCACTTGTGTTTCACTATTGTAGGCTGTAAAAAAATGGTAGCATTGCCAAGTCAAGTACATTGTCAGAACGATAACAACGATAACAAATAATAATAATAATAATAATAATAATTTATATATTGTGAATATCATATAGTAGAAAAGCGCGCTTAGAGCACCATAAGCAAGAGTATCTGGTGTCGGCTTCCGCGAATTTTCGGTTGTTGAGTGAACAAACGATGTATGTGCGTTCGTCGGTCCTACTACCCACTATACCAATATTGTGAAATACCTTACAAACTCAGACATACCAAGGGGTCAGATTGGAATGCGATGCTGCCGTTTTTTGATAGTGTGATATACGCCACTCATATCAAAAAGAATGGACAACCCTAAGCGGTCTAAGTACCCCATCCCCACCTTTGGAGGCGTGTGTTGCCGAGTGGTTAACACCTTGAACTCCGGATCTGGAGGTCCGGGGTTCAAGTATTACTCGTCGCGTTAGACAAGGAACTTTACTCCACTTTGTCTGTCTTCACCCAGGTGTATTAATGGGTACCGGCGACAAACCGCTTTGGGGTAACCCTGCGATGAACTAGCATCCCGTCCAGGGGGGATTAGCAATAGTCCAAAACATGCTTCATGTTAACGAACTGGGATAAGATCCGGCCGTTTGGGCCTTTGGCTCGTGTGCGCCTTTGCCTAAAGTTATCACCTTTAGTGCACCAAACACGCTATAATAACCAACCGTCATTGATCATTACCTGCCCAGGTCGACTTCAGATGCTCTTCAGAAGAGGAGTTACATGAATGCAGGGTGTGGGAATCGCTTTTTTGAACAGCCTCACTGAAAGATGAGTGACTTACGAGTGCACCAAGGGAAGGGAGACCATTAGGATAAGCCGGGGGATAACGGAACTTATCCATCACGTAGCCAAGTGCAAGCTCTCGTTGGCTTCTCGTCGTAACAAGGCCGTAGTTGTTATGATCCATGAACCATAGCGTATATCTTCTTAGAGGGCCATTTATAAAGTCAAATAATGATTCGATGTCAGACCGGCCAGTCACGTGATAGCATGAACTTGGATTGGAACAAAAAGCATCTTCTATCAGTCGCTCGGCTTCTGTGTGGTTAAACTTAGGACTGGTACCATAGGGGTGAAAGGAAAGGACAAAGTTAGCCATCCATATGAACAAGCCACAGGTTTGTAGATGCGGTGTCTCTTGGCAGTCTGCCATGGTTGTCGTGTCTTTGGGAGGCCCTAGAAGAGTCGCATTGACAAGGGCATTATAAAGTCCACCCATTTGTGTAACGCTATACTCTCGTCTTATTGGACTCATTTTAGTCCCAGAGAGCTTATTATATTTCCAGGATCCAAATTCTGGATTATATGAGTTGTTTAGCTGCAGCAAACTCGAGGTTTTTCCCAGTTGTTTCAGTGTTGCGTTTCGGTGTCCCAGTATCGAATCCATGTCACGCAACAGGCTGTCAACTGCCACTGAGAGAAAAACTAGACTAAAGGAGTCCGCTGTTTTAACTTGGTTGATAAGACCCAGGTAGGCCAAGTTAACGATGCTCACCTAAGGAATAACAAAAGAAAAATGTTAATGGTAAGACATTTGTTCATAAAGTTATCTACAACTTTCAATCCACCCATCCATCCATTTTACCTGTTCATTCACAAAGAGTCCTTCCATCTATCCATCCATCCATCCATCCATCAGACCACATAGGTCTTCAATAAATTCATTTCCAGTAGTACTTTCCTATCCATCCATCCATTCCGATTTATCAATCTATCCTTATTGATAGCTGATAAATATATCTCTTCAAGGTTCAGAGATCATTTGCCTCTTTCCCTTACGACGTCACATGACGTCAAATCTAATCAGCAGTTTCACTGTAATGTGTTTAAAACGTTGACGTCATTTCCACGGTATATAAGAGTCGATGAAACATTTTTGTCGATTTGTTAACCCCGTGTTTGTTTCTTTTTACAAACAATTCCTCGTGTGCATGTGTTCCTCAGACCAGTAAATTTCACCACCAAAGTGCGTTTTGTAACTATAAACCTAAGAATTTTACTACATTTTATTTCTTACCTTGTCGTTTTCTTGACACGTTCCGCATAGCTTTGCTGTCATCTTTTTGTTGAATTTCTGTTGTTGGAAAGTTTTATAAGTCACCTTTCCGGACAGATCGAAGGTAACATCAATCTTCTCTGAAAGTGTTGTGAAAACATAGGGACCTCTTTCGACGAGCTGTAATCAGGTAAATGTTAGTCAACAATAATCACACCATTTCTTACGCCCTAGGTTTAAGAAAATCCAAAAAACGTATTGAACGTGTTTTCTTTTAATACTGTTTTGGTACCACTTAGTATTTTACACGATAGCCCTCATGTCTTAATTCAGGGGAGCACTCAAGTTACTTTCTTGTGGTAGTACTTTATAAACTGTGCAAGATCGCTCTAAGGTTTACGTCTGTGGGTGCCTTGCATACTTTGGTTTTAGCGACTGTTCCCATCTTGAGACTACTCCATGTTACAGTATCTATTAATTACCTTCTCGACTGATTATATTTCAAAATTGTGCATTAAGCCCTCCAAAAATTTACCATCCAATCACGCGTGATATCCTTATAAGCAGTGTGTGATGATTTTTCGCTGTCTGTATTTATATCTAATTTAAAGCTACCGAGCCAGCCATAGAACAAAGTACATTTACCAGTAAAGTTTCAAGGCCGCTTAAGGTAAATTTGATATGTTACCTTGGGTGTTTCTCCATTGTAAAGGAATCTTTCCTTGTTTATGATATGCCAGTAATAAATTTTTGTTAAACTCTCCGTAATATTGATCTGTATAAGCAAACAAAGAAACCTAAATGCAATTCGTGTAGTCTGGTTTCCAAGATGTCTCTTCTTCCCTTCCTCAGTGGAGTCAAAAGGAGGGGGAAAGAAGAGAAAAGACCTTCGAAACGACGTTGAGTGCTCGTAGCACTGTCGTCAAAGTTACACTTAGTTACCTCTTGAGCCACTCGCAGTACGAGCTTCAATGTAATGATAAATTGGGATCTCCAAGTAAATACATGTACGTTAGGTACTACTGTCAAGTGATAGAAAACACGGGGAAATGATGTTTGTTATGATACTGTGTATTTGGGGGAGGGGAGGGGCATTGGGGGTAAGTGTCTGACGGAAACGAAGTATTGATGCCGCCTTGACCTCACGATCGTTAGATGTCTCGTTACCCTGCGAGCAGAGGCCGACGGGCCGAAGGGCCGAAGGGCCTCTGCTCGCAGGGAACATGATCGTCGGTGTTGGACTAGACATGACAGATGGCAGCTCCGCTTTCCCCTCCCCTCCCCTCCTTCCCTTCCTCCTGGCCTTTCACCTAGATCTACTACTCTCAGGAGCTTATATCACTGTGTATAATGTTTAATCTTTAAATTAAACAATAAGTGGCCGGCATGACAGCTACAGACTCTTGTTCAGTCCTTACTCACCACTTTACAAACGAGAAGGAAGCTGGGCCGAGTTAACTTTCGCAAAGACTTCTGGGACTGTTATCAGGGACAGCGAAAAAAAATTAGCCAATAGCTGATCGGCGCGTCCCCAATGACAATCCCAGAAACAATTGCGGGACGCATTTCGGTTCCAGTTCCTTTCTCGTGGCCGACTAATCATAAAATGACGTACCCATTGGTCATAATAAGCATCCTCCTTACTACTGACACACATTTCGTCAGTTATTCGTTTTTGTAATGCACGTGGAAGAACCAGGCTGAAAAGGAGAGCAAGACCCACGAAAGCTACACCAACCAACAGCAAAGCAATCCCGGTCGTTCTCTTATCTCGCCAGGACATGACTCCTTACTGCTAAATAAAATGTATGACAGTCAACGTTATAATGCAGAAATAGCATAAGGTAACTTTATGTGCAAGACCGTAGTACTCCCGTCGAAGCCTGTTTTCAAACGCGTTGCTAAGGTTACTAGAAGGCCTAATTAATCATTGGTAAGAAAGAGCAAACGAAATCGATGCTTAATGAATGTCTTTCTAAATTGTTTGGATAGGACTGAGTTGTTTGCCTAGATTTTCTTAAAAGAGAAGTAATTTAAAATGATAAAAACGCGAATTATTAGAAAATTGAAGTTGTCTCCAGAAAAATTTCAGTTCTTCAAGAAACAATCAGTTCCTTTTAAATCAAGTTTTTTAAAAACGTGATAAAACACTCGTGTTCGTGTTTTTGTTGTTGTTGTTTTTGTTTTAGCATTGTTTCGATAACGTGAAAAAAAAACTGACGCTTCAAAAGCTTCAACTCATAGGTACAGCACATGAAGAATTCAGTGTGTGTGTGTGTGCGTGGTTTACAAATCTGCAGGCTGAGGAAAAACGTTTAATCTAGGGATATAGCTCTAAAATGGAAAACATGTATTAATTCAATTAAATGGACTCGTTCTTTGTCTTCACTTATTCGAGGGGAGCCAGCGTTAGCGGTTATAAACGCTCAAATGGTTTTAGTTGTGGGCTGTTAAGAATTTGAAAATTTTCTTACCGCGAAACGTCATAAAAATTGGTCAGTAACAGCTTATAATTCTCAAAATATTATGGTCTTTTTTTAACCTGGAATGGCCCTAATAAGAACTACGACCGTAAAAGTGCTTTTAAAATAGTTAAAAAAAAATTTCTCAGATCTTTGCTTCAATTACCTGACACATTGGGGACCTTGAAGTATAATCTAATGAACTAAAGGTTTGGTCGTTTGGAAAATATGTAATTAGCTTTTGCTTGTTGCTGCAGTGCTCACGTGAAAGCGAAAAATGTCTGCTCGCACCGAAAACTATATCATCTGGATCCGTTCTCAAGGAAACGCCCCTAGCGCGGATAAAAAACATTGAACTGAAAAAACCGAAAGCATAAAGTGCTGAAAAATGCTCGAAATATGGTTATTTTCGTAAGCAAGGTTCTACGTATGAAAAATATGAAAAGAGGTTAAGAACAAAAAAATAAGGTAACTTTGCTATTTTGAAAGCGAGGCAACCAACTATTTCTTCTCGTTGAAATAAAAACAACCATTAAGTGTTTAAAAAGTCCTCTCATGTTAGTTAACGTAAACTATAGAGTGCCTGATGATACTATTTTCTTTTCACCAAAAACTGAAGCATATACTTAGCTATCGCTAGCTATCCTAGTCTCGTTAGATTCCGGTGACTTGAATAGTTAAAGGATTAATTCAAAGTGGATGTGAAAAGTTTTCCTCTTACACTTAACGACAATAACGTATTGTTTGTATCAAAATTATGGGAAAATTTTACATAAACGTCCTAATTAAGGGCTAAAAAACACATCAATAAGTGTTACTAAATTAGCGTAAGAAGCAGCGTAGATTGTATCGTTAGAGAAAAATGATAAGATCGAACATCAAGCTAAAGTTCCATTCTCCAGTTATTGATGCCTGAAACATGCTCAAGTAATATATATCACGTTGACGGGTTAAAATAAGCGTTTTATCGTAAAATTGATTCTGAATATAGGGAAACATAAAGATGTAGTATTTACCATAATCGCACAGAATTTGAATCGCGTATGTGCGCCTGCCGAAAATTTACTCTGTTAGCTCTTTATATCACCGGTGGAAATAAAACACTCTAACCAAAGTGAGGACGAATGGAGTCATAATTCTCATGGCGCAATACTTTAAATTTGTCCCTTACTTTAGAATCGCCTCACATTCGGGCGATGGTATTTTGTCATTTGTGTAGCCTGTTCCTAAAAGCTTTTTGGATAAACTGCACTGAACATTGTTGTCCTGATACGATTTCTGACAGCTATTAAGCTAGACACTCATCACGTATAAAACACCTCAACTGAAATCAAGAAACGAAACTTTATTATATGGAGAAATCGCCTACATCAAGTTGTTGTGAATAATTTTTTTGTAATGTTTGCGTTTTTCTAACTTGCTTTAAAAAAAAAATTGCAAGAGCCGACGCACAAGCACATAAAAAGATACTGCGTAAACTAAACTGACCATATCTGTGGCCCCTTTAAATCTTGGGGAGACAAAAACGTTCAATAAAAAATTATGTCAATATATGCTTTATACGTTCTTTCAAAAGAACAGTAAAAAGACTAGATGCCTGTGAGCAAATAAACACAGTTAACAAATTTTGTGTCAATAATGAAGTATATGATCAAGTCATGCATATGACGCCCATCGCTGTTGAAATCATCTCTCAAAATTTCCTAGACTTTTGAACTTTGCCGGGAACATACCTCTGTTGACGGAGAAAGTGAGTATTTCTTCCAACTTAATTCTTGAAAATCAACGCAGGTAAACAGTATTGAATGCTGTAAGAGATTGTGCTTAATAACAGATGTTCAAGTATTTTTCTTCATTTCAAAACAATCAAAAGCTTTACGGTTATTTCCGCTGTGTTTGGATCGTTTTTCTGCGTGGAACTAGACGTGGCTAAAACAATTAAACTTAATTTTTCCTTCTTCATAATTCCTTAAAGATTCTTATGTTATTTTCAAATACGTTGGGAAAATCCCCATCCTTTGGGTCATCACCCACAGTAGCTTTTTTCGACGGTTGCCTATTTATGAAAACTCTAAATCGCCGGCATGTTATAGTCAACCAGACCGTATAAAGTGTGGACGAACTTTCCTTCGAAATACGTCTTGAACGACACACAACGAACGGTAGTTCGGGTGGACGCATAATGCGTCTTGTACCCGTCTTTCTACTAGAGACANAAAAGAACGGTAACAAAAAGAGATAGATGCCTGTGAGCAAATAAACACAGTTAACAAATTATTTGTCAGTAATGAAGTATATGAGCAAGTCAAATGACGCACATCGCTGTTGAAATCATTTCTCAAAATTTCCAAGAACTTTTGAACTTTGTCGGGAACATACCTCTGTTGACGGAGAAATTTGAGTATTTCTTCCAACTTAATTCTTGAAAATCAACGCAGGTAAACAGTATTGAATGCTGTAAGACATTGCGCTTAATAACAGATGTTCAAGTATTTTTCTTCTTTTAAAAACAATCAAAAGCTTTCGGGTTATTTCCGCCGCGTTGGGATCGTTTTTCCGCGTGGAACTAGAAGTGGCAAAAACAATTAAACTTAATTTTTCCTTCTTCATAATCCCTTAAAGATTCTTATGTTATTTTCAAATACGTTGGGAAAATCCCCATCCTTTGGGTCATCACCCACAGTAGCTTTTTTCGACGGTTGCCTATTTATGAAAACTCTAAATCGCCGGCATGTTATAGTCAACCAGACCGTATAAAGTATGGACGAACTTTCCTTCGAAATACGTCTTGAACGACACACAACGAACGGTAGTTCGTGTGGACACATAATGCGTCTTGTGCCCGTCTTTATACTAGAGACACAACCAGACAAACTACAGAGGTTAGCCCATGTTCGTCCAGACGGATAATGCGTCCTTAGTATAAAAAACGGCTAGCGGCTTTGCTTTTTTCTCAACGCTTGTCAGATTTCTACGGTTGTGGACGGACACCTGAAAATATTCCAGACGTTTGGTTGAAACATTACTATTACTATTACAGGGTTTGCAAATTTTATTGATAAGTGGAGTCAGTGTGACTTCTGCTTCACAAATTTTGGAGTCATTTTGGAATATTTGGAGTCAAGTATCACAACGAAAAAAGCCATTGTCAGACTTTCCAGCAAGTGGCCCTGGCATGTATACATCATCGTGAGGGATGCACGAAGTAGCTGTGGCGGTCCGCTGACCTGGAAAGCTCAAATCCATGATGTCGGTCATCGAGTAAACTTCGATCGTAATTTACCCTCTTCCTGTTTTGTCGTGCAGTATAATTCTTTAA